CATTATCACACCCATTTTATTAATGATGAAAATGAAGCTCAGAGGCATAAATAACAACCCAATGTGTTCTGCCCCACCAGGAAGTGTGTGTGTGTGTGTGTGTGTGTGCGCGCGCGCGCACGCACGCGTGTGACTATCTGCTGCACAAAGGCTACAACATGTTGAAGCAGTTTGAACTGGCTTGGAAGTGGGGTGCTTGAGAATCCATGACTAGCATGTATCTCCTAAACCTTCCAACTGTTCATCCAATCATATGCCAGCAAGAAGCAGTCCACTTAGCCTCCCAATCCAAGCCAAATCCATCAGCACTCATCCATCAGAGTCCAGAGCTAGCCAGTCCATTCCATACCTCCTACCCAATCAAAATCTAGAACCATCCACAAGCTCCATTCTTTCATCCAATCAATGGTCAGCCATAGCCAAGCCAGTCATTCTCTCATCCAATTGAGAATTGAATCCCTCCCAATCAAAAGGAGACAATAGACAAACATTATGTTTTCTCCAAACAGAATGTAGCAGCTGCTAGGTAAACCCAGACTCAGAATTGGAGCCCTTTACCCTAAAGAGGAATGTTGTACAACAGCCTGAACAGGACATTTTTCATGGGATGGTAATGCTGGAGTGACCCTTAGAGACTTCCTGGGGACATCCAATTTCCCAGGCATCAAGCAGAAAAGTTAAGGCTCAGTGTGGGACCCACCTCTTTGACTCCCATGGTCAGAGTTGTGTATACTTGAGCCAGAGACACTAGGAGCTGCTCTGTATGTGACACAACCCAGGAAGCTTTCCGTCCTGCCAGCTGCGGGAGGCAGACCCCAAGACTTAGGGAGAGGAGGCAGGAGGGAGGTCCTGGCCTCTGGGCCAAACGGGAAGGACTAGAGGCTGAGACCAGAGTCTCAGGGCAAAATGGGGTGGGCTCAGGCATGTCCCAATACCCGACCACAGTGTCACCCTGAGCAGGGAGGTGGGGCCAAGAGCTCATTACCCAAGCCAGTCAGCAACCACTGAGGCAGCGGAACCTGGGCTCTTCAGCCAGAAGAGTAGGCTGGGTCAACGAGGGCCACGATAGCTACTAAAAATCTCTAAAGCGTTTTTCTCTGCCTTTGGTGGCCACAGGGGGAACATTGGGGCCAACAAGTGGAAGGAGGAACAGAATTCAGCCAAGACTGTGAAACAGAGTGGCTCAAGCAGAGGTTGGAATGTTGGGGGCACTGTGAGCAGCTCTTCGTCATCTGGAGGGCGGCCAGAGCCTGACCTCATGCGAACTGCCGTGTCTGGGCACTGACTCTGTGTGTGTGTCGGGGGGCGGAGGGGCGCACAATGCGACAAGTCCGCAGGAGCTCAGAACCGTTCGCTTTCCGGCAGAGAGCTCAACGCACCATATATATGCCGGAAGTCCATGGAAATGCAGCGGGTGAAAATTCAGAAAGTAGCATCCCCTCCACCCAGCACCAGCTCCAAAGCAGGGCACATGTTTGGGGGGAAGGCAGGAGCAGGGCAGAGTCAGACATGGACTGTCAGAGACCAAATGGAGCTCCCAGCGCACCTTCTGCAGTCCTTTCACTGCACCGAAGAGGAACCTGGGGCCCAGAGATGGGAAGAGGCTGTTTAAGGTCACACAGGAGTCAGGTGCACCAGTTCTCCTGACTCCAATGGCAGTTCTTTCCTCTCCACCAGGGGCTTTCAGGGGCCAGGCAGTGACGATGACAAATGTGGGAAATGGCCAAATTCAGATAATGGGGTGGGAGGGGACCTGAGGGAACTAGAGAGTGAATGCTCTGGCTAAAGGAATTTCAATTCCACTTTTAAAGAACCCAAACAAGCCTGGGCCAGAAGGGGCAGTGTGTTTTCCCCAAAATCCTCTATAGCATTTTTGGCCAAACTCCGAGGGAAGGAGAAAACAAAGGAAGGCGATTTGCACAGGGTCCTGGTGCCCTGATTGCTGTCTTGGGGAGGAGAGAGGGAGCCCCCGCTTCCAAGCCAGCACACGTCTGTCCCCACGGCAATCGGGGCGGCACGCAGACACAGCCGCGCTTCCACACACAACACGCGAGCAGTCCCACTCCGCTTCCCCAGCTGGAACAGGGAGCAGGAAGGGAGCCCTGACCGCCACCAGCGCGGAAGAAAGAAAGAAGCAAGACAGTTTGAGGCAGAGTGTATTGAGAACAGGAGAGAAAACAGAGTTGGGGAAAGAGCTCAGCCTGGTCGCAGGAGCTGCAGAATGGAGGGTGGGCTGTTCCATTGCTGGCCCTCGGGGTCGAAGGGAGCAGGGGTCCAGGGCAGAGGCTTCACTCTGTTCTGGGAGGGGCCTGGCAGGAAGGGGCTGAGCTCACTCACAACTCCCCCACGCATACCCCCTCGATCTGTGTGGAATGAGCTCACTGAGAAGGCACCCCCTGTTCCCATGGAGACGAGCCCAGAGCTCACGAAAACTGCAGGCTCAGCCCAGCATGGGCACCGCCTCCACCACCCCTTGCCCCGCTGGGGAGCCCAGAAATAGGGCTGGGAAAGAGAAGTGGGTGGTCCTCGGCCCCCAGCCTTGAGAAGCTTCCATCTGAATCCTGCCTCTTGTGTCTGTATTCTCCCACCCCCCACAAAGCCTGGCTGGGGGGGCTGCATCACATCTAAGGTGTCAGAGGTGGTGGGGATCTCAGACTACCTGACTCAACACCCTCACTGTACGCATGGGGAAACTGAGACCCAAAGACATGCATGCAGTAAGTCTGTTAGAACCCAGGTCTCTTGAGCCCCAGACTTTTCCTCAAAACCTGAAGGTCCCACTTGTCTCTTCCCCCGGGCTGTTGTGCCCGGCCTCAGCCCTTGCCATGCTCCCACTGTCTCAGGTGACCCTGGGCATCCCAGGCCCAGCGGCTCATCCCTTGGCCTCCTGCAGCATCTCATCCCAGCCACGCCCTCACCAGGTCACCCTCACAGACATCTAACCCCACTGTCCTTTGGCAACAGCCCATTTCCTTGCCCTCTCTTCCCAGGGGACTGTCTTGTCACTTCCAAGTCCTTTCTCCCAAAGCACCAGCCTATCTCAATCCTCACAGACTGTCACAGCTAGAAGGACCCTCATCATGTAAATGAGAAAACTGAGGCCTAAGAAGGAGAGTGACTTGGCCAAGGTCACAGAGCAAACGGGAGGCTGAGATGGGACTAGAACCCTCCTCCCCTGCCTCTCTCCCTGGGGCCTGTTCCACTGCACTGAGATGGCTTCTTTGAGTCGGGCAGATCTTGGCTGAGGTTGAAGCCAAAACCACCAATGGATGCCTAGCTAGGGCCGCCCTCTTAGCAGCACACCACATCTGCACAGCCTTCTGTGGGGCTCTCCTCTCGGGGGTTCCCCTGGGACACCCCCCGCCCAGGACAGTGAGGGCAAGCCAGGCAGAACCAGGACTGAGGTCTGGGCCCAGGAGTCGCCCCAAAGCGGAGCCAGGTCTTGGAGAGGGAGGAGAGAAGCATCAGACAGCAGTGGTGGGCTAAGTCGGCAGCCCGAGGAAGGACCAGGAGGGCAGCAGAGGCGGAGGCAAGGCTAAGCTCTCTGGTGCAGCGGAGAGGTGTCCAGAAGGCAGAGGTGGAAGAGATAGGCCCGTGGAGGTGAGAATCCAGCAGCAGGAAGAAAGATGCCAGGAGCTTGGGCCTCATGAGGGGGCCCCGCTGGGACAGCTGATTCCACAGGCACTGGCAGGCTGTTTCTGCTCCCGAAGTCCCTGGTGGGATCCCCTGCTAGGCCACTCCCAGCAAGACGCTGGCATCCGACTCAGCATCCCTACAGCTCACGAAGGCCAGAAGCAGCCCTCATCCTCCTCGGGACCTGCCAAGGGGGTTCTCTCTCCATGGCCCTCCTCCCTGCTCAGACGTGGAGTCCAACCCCCCCGGGTGTAGAGAAGGGGCAGCCGCATTCAGAGAGGCACTCGCCCAAGGTCACAAAGCCAGCTGGTGGCAGCATCCGACCTTGAGCCTCGGACTCCCTGTTCTCCTCACTCAGCTCTGTGCCATTTCCTGCCACATCTGCTCTCCATCCAGCCCTCAGGGAGGGGGCCTTGACTGGCAGCGGGACCCCTGTGGGTCCATTACTTGAAGCAGAAGGAAGGCTTCCACACCTGAGCCTCGATCCCGGCGTTCCGGGTGGAGAAGGAGGGCCTGGGGGCCTGCTTGGCTCGGGGAGGCCACGCCCTGGAGGGAGACACGGGGGAGATGTCGCCGCCGTAGGGAGGGCTCACGGCAGTGGGCTGGAGGCCGTCCTGGCCAGGTGAGGTGCAGAGGCCCAGGGAGGAGCGGGAGGGCCGAGGCAGGGCAGGCGACGGAGGGAGACCTGCCTTGGGCAGGCTGGGCGCCAGGTCCAGGGAGCTGGGCTTGGCGGGCGAGGCCGCTCTGGGCGAGGCCGCTCTGGGCGAGGCCTTGGCAGGCTCCTTGATGGGCGAGAGGACAAAGAGCGAGGGCCGCAGCTGGTAGGGCGGCTGCTGCTTGGTGGGCTCTGGGCGCAGGACCCCGTTCTCAGGCAGGTACCCATGGTAGAGGGAGGCAGGCGGGGTCCGAGCTGGGCTTCGGGAGGCCACTCGGAAGCCCCCGGGGGCGTTAGTGGAGTATTTCCAGGATGAAGGCAGGGACATGGTGGGGGAAGGGCAGCGGGCCAACTCCGTGGGGCCTGAAGACTCGATGACGTATTTCTCCATCCGTGACTGGCGGCGGGCATAGAGCTCAGCCCCCTTCCCAGAGGCCTCGGAGAGGTTCTGGTTGGGTTTGGGCTTTGGCTTGGCCTGGATTCGGGGCGACTTGAGGCAGGACGCCCACTCTGGAACAGCCTCCTCAGCGGCTGCAGGGCCGGCCCTGTCCCGAGGTGCTGGCTCCTGCTGGAAGTTGGAGGCCTCGGCCCCCAGGGCGAAGGGCTCTTCCTCCACGCCCACCTCCCCCTGGTCCCTCTGCCTCCGCTTCTCATCGGCCGTCTGTACCAGATCCAGCAGGTCTGGATTTGGGGTCACCTTGGGCTTCTCCACGAAGGTGAACATGGCTTTCCGGCTGCCCCGGCGGGCCATCGACTCCTCCAGAATGCCCGTCTTGCTGGCAGGAACTGCCTGGCCCTTCAGATGAGAAGGCTTGGGGTCAGAGCTGGGGTACAGGGCAGAATAAGACGGAGGGGACCGGACCCAGGAAGCCAGAGGGGCTGTGGACAAAGTCTCAGCGTAGGTGGGGGGTGGGGCGAAGTTCCCCACAGGGCGTCTCTCCGAGGCCGGGCTGCGCTGCCCCACCAGCCTCCTTTCCACCATGGGGCTGTGGGACATCATGTGTCTCTGTGGCCGGGGGCTCCTGTCTGCCACACTGGAGGGCTGGGGAGCCGAGGCCTTCTCCCCAAGATGTCGTCTCTCTATCATGGGGCTCCGCTCCATCTGGCCGGTGCCCCCTGGCGCCTGGATGCCAAAAGGCCTGGCCGTCCTGTTGACCACTGAGGGGGGCTTGGCCAGTGTGAAGTGGACCTCGCTGTACACCTTGGTGGGCGTGGTGGCGGTTGCCCGCCCAGACATCTCTTGTTCTGCTGACAGCACTAGCGCATGGGGCTGGACGTCGATGAGTAGGGAGCTGGACATGAAATCGGGGGCTGAGGCCCCGGAGCCGGGAATGATGGAAGCTTCCCTGGAGAAGGTGCTGGTGGTGGTAGGTGGAGTTGATACCTTGTCAATTAGGAGGGTGCTGGATCTCACCTCCGCACCTGGCCCCTGGGCTTGCCCGTCGGCACACAGGGTGCTGGGTTTGGCATCTGGCACTGTGCCGTTCGGCGGGAGATGGGCCTCTGAGGAATTCTGTTGGGCGCTAGCAAGAGGCAGGCTCTGCGGGACGACAGTTGTCGGTGGGTTCTGATTGACATCAGTGGCTGGCAGGTTGTGGCCGCTGTTAGAAGCTGGTGCGGTGAGGGTGGCACTGGGCGAGGGAAGGTTTTGGTTGACATCTGCAGCCGGGCTGTGGGCCTCGGCCGGAGGAGGGGTGGGCGGGGACTGCTGGGCCTCTCGGTTCTGGGACAGGTGGAGCCCATTGGCCGTCAGCAGGGCTGCGTTCTCCTTCAGATAAACCACCAGCGGTACCTCCTCCTCCTCACTGGCCACCCTCTCCAGGTGCCGCAGCAAGCTGGCCTCCTCTGAGTAGCCCTCCATGCTGTGGCCAGGGACCCCTCTGCCGGGGCTCTGGGGATCGGGGTGCCTTGGAGGGCCTGGCTCAGGCGGTGAGGTGGGACTCAGGCTGAGCCCTGGGGCATGGCCTGTGGGGCGTGCAGGGAGCACTCTGAGGGACTCCGGGCTGGGCTTCGGTGCCCTCTGGCCGTGGCTCTCCAAGGTGAACTCGTTCACCCTCTGCCGGCGCCTGTTGAAGAGCTGGACGCCACGGGAATTGGAGCTGGGAGGGGTGGTCAGCTGGGCTGCGATCTGCTGGCTCCGCGCCTTGGCCTCTTTCAGGTCCTTCTCGGTGAGGCTAGTGCTGCGGCCCAACGCTGCAGAGAGGTACAGAGGCCCGGTTAGCAATGGGAATGCAGTGCCACAGGGGTGCACAGACAGACAGACAGACGGGCAGCTGGGCCCCTCCTACACAGGATCTTTTCCTTTGGAATTTGATCTTTACTCACTATTTCCTAGAATCAGCTCTCCTCATAGAGATCCCTGACCCCCTTCATGGCCCAACTCAAACGCCACCACCTCTCTGAAGCCTTCCCTGATTATCCGTTCAGGATTAACTGGTCCTTCATTGGACTCCCGCTGAAGGTTGTTGATGTGGCACTTTACCAAACTGAGTATGAACACCTCACCATGGAAGTCAAGGCCCACTCCATCCCCGACTCATCCTCCCCCACCCTTCTCCTCTCTCACTAGGCTCTGCCACATCGGCTTTCTTTCTGTTCCTTGAGCATGCCAAGGATGTTCCTGCCCCAGGGCCTTTGTACTTGCTGTTTCCTGTGCTTGGAATAATCTTTTCCAGGTGGCATTCCATGTTGGTTCCTTCCAGCTGCTCAGGTCTCAGCTGGAATGTCACCTCTCTGGAGGGGCCCTCCCTTCTCTGATCCCATCTCTTTGTTTTATTTTCTTCATAGCATACACCACAATTTGAAATGATCTTCTTTATGTTTCCGTGTTTATTACCTGTCTCCTCACCCAGAGCATAGCTCTAAAAGGGCAATGATCTTGCTTGACTTATTTACCACTCTGATCTCGGCCCCCAGAACAGGGCCTGGCCTACCATGGACCCCATTCAGACATGAACAAATGCACGAATGAACCCCCATAGCATCTTCTCTGTGCCTTTCTTAGGGCCCTTTATACTTTCAAACTTACAGTAGTTTGATTTTATAAAAAGATGCCACTGACACTTTCCCTTTTTAGAACAGGTAATATGTTCACGTGGTCTAAATATAAAAACATAAAAAGGTATGCAGTGAAAAGTATCTCTCCATTCCTGACTGCTCCACCCCACAATCAGGTAACCCCTGTTGTTAGTTTCTTCTATATCCTTCCAGAATTTCTTCCCATCTTTATTTAAACAATCATTTAAAAATTCACATATTTTAACACTAGAAAAGTAATAAATTGGGCTAATTTCAGCAGTGACTACACTAGAACATTGCATTCTTTCACCTTATCCTCACGAGAACTCTCTGAGACAAGCATTATTTGCCCACGTTTTACAGAAGAGGAAACTGAAGTTCAGAGACTTATAAGTAACTGACCCAGGTCACACAGCTAGAGGTGGCAAAGCTGGAGTCAGAATAAGTTCCCTCTGGGTCCACAGCCCATGCTCAAGCTGTCTGCTCATCCCAAAAGTTCCCTTTTGGACATACAGGGGGACAGAATCAGCAGGGGGTTGGGGATCAGGCTGGGGTCAGTCCCCTATTAATGTGTAAGTTCGCTGCAGGCAACCATTTCGCTTTCTATCCCCAGTGCCTGGCTGGCACACAGGCGGTGCTCAATTTATACTTGTTGAATAATATATGAACAAAGGAACCGACAGACAGATGGATGGACCAGCCTGTGGCCAGGATCAGGAGCTCAGTCAGTGGCTGAGAACATTCCTCCTCCCCTCCCCCTTCTCCTCCCTACTGTGGGAAGCTAATTAGTTCTTGAGGAATCTGACCCTGCCCTCCTCCTACCTTGCCCTCATTAGCACTGGCCATGACATGCGGAGGAGGCCTCCAGGGACAGTCTTTCTAGGCATCTTGCCAGTCGTGAGGCTCAGAGTTCGTGGACTCCCCGAGCTGGAAGAGCCCTTATAGAGGCGCTATTTCACCACCACCCCATTTTACAGATGGGGAAACTGAGGTCCAGAGAATAGCCCAGGGTGGAGCCTGCTGACCCCCACGCTGGAGCCAGCAGGGAGGCCCACACAGAGCAGAGGAGCTACAGACAGCAGCTTCACTGGGACCAGGCCAAGCAGCCACAGGCTTCCTGGCACCAACCTCCTTTTTCCCTCCTGCCGCCAGGGCTGGCTTTCCCCTCACCTGTTAGAAACGGTTAAAGCACACAGCCTACCCCACCCACCCATGACACCAGCCGCACCTGGTAAGACTCCTCTCCCGCCTGGATCACCCCGTCTGTAAAAGATGAAGGATTTACCCAGGCTGTTCCCCTGCGGGGGGCCACCTGGGAGGGCCCTGAGGGCTTGCTCAGCTCACACAGTGTCCATCTCCTCTGCTCTGCTTGGAAACCAGGCCTTCCGGCCTGCAGCCAGTCTCTGCCAGTAGCCAGCTGTGTCACCCTGGCAAGCTACTGTACCTCTCAGAGCCCCAGCCTCCTTAACTGACAAGGGGTAAAGCAGTTGACATTAGGTTTGGGAGGCCACAATGGGGTAACGAATGCCAGCAGCTTATTGCCACCAAGCCCAGGTAGAGAGGCAGAAGGCTCATGCTCCCCTGGGATAAACTGGTCACCCCACTCTACTCCCTGGAAGGAGTCAGATCTAGCAAAGGAGACCCACTCCGTAGATCAGGGTCCCGAAGGTAAAACAGCAGGGGTGCCAGAGTTATGGGCAGGCAGAGCTTATTGCCCCCAAACACAGAACCTCGGAATCTCACAGGTAGCTGTCAATGAGTCCAATCCCCACACAATCTTGTGTCCCCAAATCCATGTCCCTGAGTGTGCCTCTGTTTACATACTCAACTGACACGAGCTCACTACCCCAGGAGGTGCCGTCCACTAATTAACATTCCTCAGCTATGAAGTTGCTCCTCATACTAACTTTCATCCACTTCTTGATGTGGTTCTGTCCCCCGGGGCTACACAGATAAAAAGCGGTCTCTTTCCAGCCTGACAGTCCTGCAGAGATTCGCAGCTACAAATTGTATCCCCACAGGACATGGGCAGGATAACCATCTCTAGTCCTGCCAGTGTTTCTTATGATACAGTTGCAGAGACAGGAGCTAACACTGACTGTGCACTTACTGTATACCCGCACTTTACTTAAATATTACTTAATTCCCCAAACAACCCTACAAAGCACAGTGTATTATTACGCACATTTTATTCATGAGAAAACCAAGGCTCAGAGAGGTAAAGTGAGCAGCCCGAGGTCACAGAGCCAGAACGGAGTGGAGCTGGGTTCACACCTGGCACTGCATGAATGCAGAGTACCGGGCTCCTGGCTGGCCGGCTGCCACGCTGTGAGGCTCACAGAAAGTGCCGGTGTTTGAAGGACCCAGATCTCTCAATGTCCCTGCATTTTTCTGCTTTCCTCCTTATCTTTCTGTTTCAGTCCCATCCCCAGGCTGGCTAAAAAAGGCAGTGGGTTTAGAAAACCCTCAAATGTCAGAGTGTGAAAGGCCCTCTGCGATAAGCTGGGCTGGGAGGCTCAGTGAGGGAAGAGGTCACAGGGCAGGACGTGGGCCGAGGACCCAGGTCTTCTGGCTCCCAGCTGGGCTCCATTCACAGCCTGGGCTGCGCTGCTGACCCTCCACCAACACCCCTCTGAGCTCGGAACCATCCCTCAGCTACTGTTCTGGGACAAGAGGAACAGCAGGAAAGGCCAGGAGGTAAGTGAGCCCTGCCCTCCAAGAAGAGCTCTCATATCCCCCACCCTCACCCACAGTGACTCCACAGAAAAGGAATTCGGCAGGAGGTTTGGACCAGACTCAGCCAGCAATCCAGACGATTTTTGCCACCCTATACAAACAAAGCTGGGAGAAGGGGCGGCTTGGCCAATTACAGGCACCCCGGAGTCCGTCTCTTGTCGCAGGGCACCGGGGGCAGGTCCATCTAAAATTCCCCAGACTAGGGAACTGCCACCTCTGGCAATGCCCCAGCCAGCTGGTCCAGGATTGTGCTCCCTGGCGCCAGAGAGGCAGAAGATGGCCAAGGGCCAGAGGGACAGGCACCTCGCTGAGCCCTCAATCTGCCTGTCTGTAACCTGCACCTGTGCGGGTCATGACGCATCACCACCCCTTAACCCCTCCAAATCTAAGCCCCTGCAGGGCCAGGTTGGGGTGCTAGCCCTTTAAAGACCCAACTTGGATGTGGGGTCAGGAGCCCTGAAGACAGGCCTTCAAGAGAGGAAGGGGGAGAGGGCAGACACAATGAAGAGCTGCCTGGGGCGAGGAGACCTGGGTCCAACAGGGCAAATCCCGAAGTGGAGGAGGGGGGAGAAGCCCCAGCACAGCTGTGAGACCACCGAGGACCGCGATGGCCGCTGTGACTGCCGAGCCCTCGCTGAGCCCCCTGTGCTCATCGCCTCGTTCAGTCGTCCTAACAACCCCGAGATAAGTATGGTTATTCTTTCCATTTTACGGAAACCAGGTCTCAGAGAGACCTGCCCAGGATCACACAACTTGTAAGTGGCAGAACTGGAATTCAAAACTCAGCCAGTCTGGCTGCTCAGTCCCATCCCTCACTACTCTGCCTTCCAGACCCGGTCCCTGGAAGGAGGCACCAAGAGGGGCCCCAGTGCTCCTGGATGGTGGTGGGCAGGGCCCTCTGTTTCCTCATCTCATGATCCGTGCTCCTCTGCAGGGCCCTCTCCCCTGGAAACTCAGCTGCCTAGAACAACTCATGCTCTTCCCCTTCTTCCTCTCAGAAGAGCTGCTAAACTCATTCTTACTAAGGTAGAAATGACTGATAGGGCATGAAAGACTAGTAGAGTGGAAAGATCACAAGGTTGGGAGTCAGGAGACCCCAGTTCTAGGTTGGCTCAGGCAGGGACAAGCCCTTTCCCCAACCCCATCACCCTCTGCAGGCAGCTGCCTGTTCTGCCCATCACTGGGCCTATGTGGACCGAGGCTCTGCAGGAGGGAGGGAGGGCAGGGGAAGGGAGGCCACAGCAGAAGGTCAGGACAGGGAGAATTCAAGGAAATGCTTCTTCACACGGCTGCCGTCAATGGGAGTGTCCAGGCCGGGATGGGTGGGTAGGGTGGGACAGGGAGCCAGGGCTAGGAACAGAGACTGGCTCAAGGCAGCCCATTGTGGCTGCCCGGAGTCTTGGCAACAGGAAGGGTAAACAGGCTGCGTAAACTGCCCC